CTTGTAGGTTTGCTATGTTGTTGGGTTTTTGAATGTAGACTTTACTATTGAGATGTCTCCATCAAAAGAAATCCAGCGATGTAAGGTCTGGAGACCTTGCGGGCCACTCAATAGTACCTCGTCTTCCAATCCACCTACCGGGAAAAATTCTGTCCATATATTGACGAACAATAGCAGCGTAGTGTAGCGGGGCCCCACCTTGCTAAAACCATAGCCTCTCGTCGGTCAAGTTGGGGTTCAAGGAATTTGGAAATAAATGACATATAAGTGGCATTAATTCACGCTGGAGAAAATGCAAGTATCTTGCTCCTTTAATAGTATCATCAAAGAAAAATGGTCCTACAATTCTATCGCGTATTGTTCCGGCCCACACATTAGTTTTCTGTGGGCGCTGAATATGAAGTTTCCTCATCCAATGGGGGTTCTCTGCAACCCAATAACGACAGTTTTGGCGATTTACGTGCCTATTTCATGTAAAAGTAGCCTCGTCAGAGAAAAGTATCCAGTCTAAAAAATGGCTTTGATCAATACGAGTCATCAACAAATCGCAAAATTCCAGTCGACGATCTGGCTCATCTTCAAGTAGCTCTTGGACAGCCTAGCCTGCATTTTATATGGGCGTTTTTTCTCATACGAGGGCTGTCTTTTAAGTTTTGCATACTGTGCATTAGAGGGCGTTACGAATGAAACGGCTCTAATAAAAATAAACTCTCGCCTTTAGTTAACCTCACTTTCAAGTTTCAGTCCGATTCATAGAGTGTTGTAGTTACACCGAATTTTCAAAGTTGACAATTTATTCAAGAAATGAATTTAAACCGAAAACATTTTCGTGACATAATTTTTTACAACTTTCGAAGACAATTTTCTCAACAAGAATGCCTCGCCGAGTTGGTTTCTCTATTCAGTAGTGATGCACCACATCAATCGACAATAATTTCTCGTTGGTATGGAGAATTTACACGAGGACGGGTTAATCCACAAAGCACATAGAGGTTCCACGTGAATGACCAAGGTCAAAACCGACAACTGATATTTTTTATGCTATTTGCTCCAAACTCTAGATGGGGCTACTGGTGAAATTATGATTTCTTACTCCATTTTTAAGCCTTATGGGAGAAAAACTTAACCAAAGACTTCAAAGATGTGACGTGTATTTATTTATGTTCTTGGTTAGTTTCATTTTTCCGTCTGATTTTAGTGATTTTTTGTTGGCTTTGGCTTTTGGTTTCTGTTTATAGTTTCGTCTTAGTTATTTGCAAAATTGTGATGTTTCGCTTTTTTATTTCCTACTGTGTTTTGCAATAATTTTGGTGCTACGTTGAAAACTTCGAGAAAAACTTCATTGATTCACCATATATTCACCATGCATCTGTATCATAAAAAGATAAACGGGGACAACAACTAATTGATAATCAATTTATCACTGGACTAGATTCCGAAATCATTTTTCACATAAGAGAGTAATACCACCATCTGTATTTGAAAGGAAAATACCTATTTATCATTGAATGAATAGTTAAAAGGATTCACCTTTTAATACAATACCTATACATTTGTCCTCAGTTAAAAAGACATTTATAAAATATATAACTTTAGTGTTAATAAAATGTAATATCCTAGTCTCTACTTCACATTTAAATTATTGATAGGTATTTTAAAGATTTGAGATTATATATCTATTTGCTCCAAGTAAGTATTCCTTAAATATGTATTATTATTTGTATTAATTTTTATCTAATAATATTTATTTAAGTTATTAATAAACATATTTTAAGAATGTTCTATTTTATTATTTATTTAATAAAAATATACAGAACCAACTCTCCACATTAGACCCCTTATAACAAATTAATTCTTCAAATTTGGTATAATCGACCTAAATTATTTTGTAAAATAAAAGTTTCGAACTTACTAGTTCCATACTTTATTTTATAAAATAATTTATGTGGAAATCATTTAAAATTTAATTTGAAACTACTACCTACTCCTAAAAATTACAATTTGAATTTACCGCCATCCGTCAATTGTCATTTTAGTTCCAGCTCCAAACACAAGGTGGCGCTAATTTGGTTTAAAAGTTTAACATTGGCGTGGGGTCTCTAGAAGATACATGCTTTGTGGGTTAATCTTCGTGACGAGCCAAGAACAAGTGCACCTAAATCGGTAGTCACCCAGGAAAGCATTGATACTGTGCGCAGGCTCATCGAGGAAGATGGGCATGTAACATATCGCGAGATTGAAGCATCGTTAGGGATTTCAAAGACCTCAATCCAAAAGATTTTGCATGAAGAATTGGAAGTAAAAAATTAGTGTCCCGTTGGATACCGCATTTGTTACCGAAGAACAAAAAGAAGCTAGGGTAAATTGGTGTCAAAAAACTCTGGAGCGCTTCAACGCTGGAAACTCTAAAAACGTGTAATGCATCGCAAGTGGTGATTTATCATGGATTTATTCATATGAACCTGAAAATAAACGCCAATGGTCTGTTTGGGTTTTCCAAGGTGAAGACAAGCCGACAAAAGTGATCCGTTCTCGAAGTGTGTCTAAAAAAATGGTCGCAACATTTGTCTCCAAAGCAGGTCATGTTGCAACAATTTCTCTAAGAGCAAAGAACTGTTACTATTGATTGGTATATAACGATTTGTTTGCCAGCAGTCATCGCTAAGCTTCGGGAAACCAACCCCTAACGACGAGTCATCCTCCATCAAGACAATACAAGTGCGCACACAGCTCGCAAAACAATTGCCTTCTTAGAGCAACAAAACGTCGAGTTTTTAGACCACCCTCCTTACAGTCCCGACCTAAATCCTAACGATTTTTTTACCTTTCCGAAAATCAAGAACGTACTGCGTGGGCAATGGTTCCAGTCACCAGAAGATGCAGTTGAGGCATTCAAAACAGCCATTGGAGCTGTGACACCCCAAGAGTGGTATAACTGCTTTCAGAGCTGGTTCGAGCGCATGCAAAAGTGCATTAATCTTCGTGGAAAATACCTTGAAAAACAATAAAATGTTTAAACACTATCTGCTGTTTTATTCTAGGTCTATATGCAAAACTTAAAAGACAGCCCTCGATTTAAATATTTTTATAACCGTTTTGTAATTAAGATTACTATCACGGGCCAGTTGACGGGCTGGAGTGACTGGCATTTCTAGAGCAAGAAACAAATTCAATTTCGTGTTGTCATCGACAACAGCTTGCCCCTTTCTCGGTACTTTTCTGACATGACCCATTCCTCGATATTGTGCCTCTATTTTACTAATAGTACCTTGATTTATACTCACGTATCGGGGACAATATTAATCATTAGTAATTGCTGTGGTGGGAGGTGTTTGTGTGAATGCGTCTTGTTTGTTTTCATTTACGCCGTGACTAGCAGTAGTATTTTATAAACCTTAGGCGCAAATTTCACATACATGAACAAATAATAATAATGCCGTGACAACAAGAACACGAAGCAACGACTTCTCGAAAATTTCCATCCACGCCTGGTTACGCCGACCGGCATAAACACCAACAGCCTGGACACAGCTCACCTACTCTGCCAAAAGGATGTACAAATAAAACGCGTACGACATGCGCACTACAAATGATTAGTGTGGTCCCCGATACGCGAGTTTGATTTATTGGTGGCAAGTCAGGATGCGACTCTCGAAACAGGCGAACAACTTCGCTTTGAGTTGGCATTTCAGTTAAATAATTAGGCATTTTCACCAGTTTGCAACAACACTTCATATCGAACGCTGAATACTGCAACTACAAACTAAATTTCTCTTTGCGGATGTGTATAAACATTAGCAAAAAATAGCAAATACCAGTTGTGGCAAAAAATGGTTTGGAATATTTTGTGAGGACATCTAAAAAGTAAGATTTACATTCCAAAACTAAACAACAAACATTTTCAGCAATTGTTACTTTGAAAATAAATTAAACTTTTAAATTACGTTTTGATTTTATTCAACCCCAAAATGTACGAGAAATTAAAATTTGATAAGTACGCTGGGTTCCTCGTTCCATCAGCTTTGCAATGAAGGGCCACAAGCCACAAGATTTAATTTAAAAAAATATGTTGAGGGTAGTTTCAGCTATCCCCGAAGGGCTATATATTTTTAAATTGCTTGCAAAATGTAGGTAAATATATTAAAACGTTGCCGTGTCTCGGGAAATTTTAGAAAAATTATTCACCTTCCCGCTAGCGAATTTATTCCAGTTAAGGTCTCCATCCTGTATATGAAATGAATAACTATTTGTATGTGTTTGTAAACGATATAAATAAATAAAAACCACTGTAGAGATTATTATTTTACTGTGAAACTATTCCTCACCATATTTTTGCAAATTCTGTTCTCATGTTATAATACCAAAGGTTGTATTTAAAAGATTATATCGCGAATTAGTAAAATAAGAAAGCCAAATAATTTAGTTACAATACAAAAGCAATGAAAAACATGACAAGCTTGCCTACTAGAATTTACACCATTAAAGTGTCAAGCATGATTATTAGTTATTATTTAAGTACGGTGTATGATTGTCGATTATTAATCAACTAAAAGTATATCAAATGATTATATATCATAAGTTACAAACAAAATTGTCGTTATTTCAACGATCCGTCGGTTCATTTTACCTTTGATAGATGGCGCTGTCAAATTTGACAGTCTACAACAGGGATTCCCAAACTATTTTGGGCAAGAGACGCCTTTTCCAGAATGAACTGATACCTCAGAACCCCATAGCCAAATTATTTTAAAAATCCTATCTCTAGTTTTTTCCTATTGATACAAAATACTTTCTAATTTAAAAATGTTGCGGTTGGTTAATTAAGTAAGTAAATTTGACATTATTTTCTCATCAAAATTTAACAAAATAAAAAAGACAAAATTCAGTAAATATCAAATATACAATTAATTATTTTATTATAAATTACGTAAAAATATTTAACTATTTTATTAGGGACTTTAGTAGATTAATAAATGATCAAAAATCAAACTTTTTCTTACCGTCAGCACCGATCAACATCTGGGCAATAATGGCTGTCGTACTAAGAGGAGAGACAACGAAGTTCTCATCTGTGGAAGTGTCCATGATGGCTTGCAACCTTAAGCCCATGGTGAAGATGGCTTCTAAGGCTTGCCCGTAGAGCATGTAGGCGTTTTTACTCACTATCTGGGGGAAAGCAAACGTAGCGGCAGTTGATGGTTTAAGGCTGAATACTGTTAAAAGTAATACTGGCAGAAGTAGCTTCATTTTCTGTAAAAAATAAGATTTTATATTATCTAACTCGTTTTTTTTAATATGATCATAATAATTAAGACAACTTGACCACCCTCAAGTGATTTAATGCGTAGCATAATTTTGTAATTTTAGTTGATTGTGATAAAAGTTCTATTTTTCAAATATTAAAGTTTATGTTTCATTAAATTATGTTTTGTTATATTGTGCATTATATTAATAATACTAAATGTTACATTTTCCAATACATAACAGTTTTTATCCCGTTAGAGGGCTCTAAAATCAAAAGTAACGCAATTGCGGAATTCTCCATGAAATTACCTTTCAAATAATGTGTTATTTGACCTTACTATATTTAAAAAAAGTAGGGGGTTGCTGCCGGGCTCTAGAGGGTTGGATTTCTAGGTATGAATTGTATATGATAATAATTCACCCACTTGTCAATGAAAGTTTATTTGTTTTTTAAATATTGAAGTTAATTTATAACATTGTGTAGGTATTCTTTCCTCTTTTTTTTTTGTAATATTGCCACTCCACCGTTTAATGACTGGCCATATCACCATGACAATCGATGTCAACCACATAAAGAAATTTATTTACTGTATTATTTAAAAGAAGGTTGTTCAAACAATACACATACAAATCAATGAACAGGATGATAAAAAGTAAATTAAATTCAACGAACTGGTTTTTTTCACCGACATAAACGGATGCATATTATTTTTAATTTCCTCAACTCAAAAAGCATAAAATATTGAAATATTTACCTTCATATACCAGCAATATGTAATATAATTCTCTATAATTTTTATCCTATACATAATTTCTCTAAAATGGACCGTATTCGAGAAATTTGAGAAAATTGTAAATTTTGAAATTTGAAGAAAACTCAAAAACGGATAGAGGAAAAACATTAAATTTTAAACATAAGTTTTATTTCGGCCTGACGTACTTTATGGGAGGCCGTTTTAATATATTATGGAATATATCTGTTATTTATGTTTGGAGAAGAAAATTGTTCAAATAAAAGTTACTTCTAATATTATTATCTATAATTTTTGTTACATGTCAAATTTTTCTGAAATGGTCCGTATTCGAGAAATTTGACAAAATGTGCAAAAGTTGTTTGCGATATCGATCTCTATAATTTTTGTTTTTACATGATTTTTCTAAAATGGACCGTAATGGAAAAATTAAAGGAAAAGTACTAAATTAAAATATTTCAGTATTTTCGTTTTCAATGAATATCTATAGAAAAATGTTTCGAGTTAGATGCGTATGTGGACAATGTATATATTTAGTTTATCCTCTAAACATTTATAGAGATGCTGCAATAGGTTGTACAAAATAACCGGAAAAAGCCTATAATAACTAGATAGGAAAGTCATGTGCTGGACACATCAGATTTTTTTTTATTAAAAATAGAAAATTTTTAGTAATCAACGGCAGATCAATAGTAACATTAATAGTTTTGACATAATTTCAACATAAAAAGATATTTCTGAATAGAGTATAATATACTGGGTAATCAAGATTTAAACAAACGTGAATTAATCGATTAACAAATGGATTAATTAATCCCCAATATTTTGGACATACTCCGCCACTGCATATAATCGACGTTATGTCAAAAGTAGACATAAAACATCCTTTTTGAAATGTGGAGGATTGACTATAATTTTATTCAAATATATTAAACTTAAAATGAAACATTTTTCCAGAAACTTGTTTATATTTTCAAATCATACCTTTTTACTCTCCTACCTACAGTTAAGAAAAGAGCAATTATGATTTTTTCTACCTCGGGGTCCCCTGATTCCGTTATGACGATATTCGCGATGATGTCTGTGCATGTGTGTCTAGGTGTGTTTGTGTGTGTCTGTATACTCGATAACTCAGGAACGGATACAATGAAAAACATTAAATTATAAACTCAAGCTTTAATCCATCTTGCAATGAACTGATTAGATTTTGGGTATATTCAGACTTCATAGGAGGTCGTTTTTATATTCTATGGAATATATCTGTTATTTACGCTTGTAGAAGAAAATTATTTAAACAAAAATTGCTTGTAATATACTCTATAATTTTTGTCCTATACAAAATTTATCTAAAATGGTCCGTATTCGAGAAATTTGACAAATTCAGATGTCATTCTCTATAATTCTTCTCCTACATATTTATCTAACATGAACCGTATAAGGATTTAAAGACCTGCTCTTTACTTTTTTTAAATTTTTGTTTAGTAAATCTGGCAACCCTAGTGCGCCTAGACAAAATACTAAACCTTATAAGGGAGCCGCGAACTGAAAAAGTTTGGGAACCCCTGCTCTAGAGTCTATCGGCTGCTTTAAGGTACCATTTCGGTAGGCGCGACAGACGACCGCCGACACGACCGAGAAGTGTCTCTCCCCGTCTAAAATACATATAATTATATGAAACACATTTCGCACGGCGCGACACGAGAAGTGTCGTCAAGGCGACACTTCTTGACGACACTTCTGAATCTGTCTCGGGGCAAAGCGTTTGCTGCGTGTCGCACTCGAGGTCACTGTCCTCAGGCATCGCTTCTTTTTGGAGGTGATTAGGTTGGAAATTTCTTTCGAAGTAGGCAGTGTTGCCAGATTTTGGAACAGTATGGGTGAAAAAAAAAACGTAGAACTGAACAGGGGGAAATAATTTAAATTTGCAGTGTAGTAAATACAAAAACAAGTATATAAGAAAAGAAAAATAAACTTTTTTTCTACCCAAATTAGAAGGTAAACAAAGAATAAAAACAAATAATAACATTTTTAATATATACTTAACGTACGGAAACAAAAAAAAAACAATGAAAAATAATAGGTATCTACTTCTTTTAGATCAGTCTAATTCAGGTAATTCAAAATCGTAGTGTTTGGCATATGCATGTTCTTTTTATGATGCCCTATTAATTCTTTGTTTCATTTTAAATAAAAACAATGATTATCTTGATGTTTTTTTTATGGAGCCAACCTACAGTAGTGGATGCCTTATTACGCTGTTTTTACCGCAGAAAATTTACTAGAGAAAATATTCTTTAACCATTTGCTGAAGAATAAGGCAAACTTAATAAATTAAGAACAACATTTGCTAGAGACAAAAACAGTGGATCTACGTAAAAACTGTAGGTCTGGCAACGCTGATCGTTCCCTCGAATGGTTATCCTGTAAGTGTCTCGCGACCCGTCTCCAAGCTTCCGAAATGTACGAAGCGTAACATTAATGCATTTGTCGTCGTTGGGGTCGTCTCCTGTCTCCTGACGCGCCTACCGAAATGGTACCTTTACATTTCTTTTTAAGTATTCTACTTCCTGTGATATATATTAATTTATTTTGTAAGCCGGTTTGTTTGGGTCACGGTGTAATTCTTTATATACATAAAAAGATACCTTGATAAGCCAGCAGAATACACAATTGGGGTTTTGCCAGTTGGGACTTCCAACCATCATATATGGTCTAGGATGTTACAAAGTTGGCGACGAGGATGGGATAGGGGCACTAATTTCTCATATAATGCCAGATAATTCGGAAAAAGTTATTGCGTATGCATCGCGAACTCTTTCAGAGACGGAACAAAAATACTGTCATTTTTGGCCTGTGTAAATTCAATAACTATCTTAAAAAATTTACTCTGGTGATTGATTATAAGCCGCTATCATATATTTTTAGTCCACAGAAAAATATTCCTTTATACTCAGCGAATCGCCTAAAGCGATGGGCCCTAATACTTTCTAGCTATGATTACGATTTAGAGTTGATCAAATCAGAAAAAAATCTAGCAGACAGCTTGTCACGTTTGCCATTGCCTTTAGAAGAGAATTCATTAGTTGATGTCGAACTAAATTTTATAAATTATTTTTCTAAAAACGAATATTTCACGTAGATTTTAATATGATTAAAGCAACTACGTCGAAAGACAAATTTTATCAAGTATTTTACATTTAGTAAATACTGGGTGGCCACAAAAATGTTCGTGGCATAAAAATCCAAACTTTCAAAGTTTTTACCGAATACGCAATGAGCTAAGTATTGAATCTAATTGTTTAATGTGGAACAACAGAATTATTATTCCTAATGATTTACGAGAGAGACAATCTTACAAGATTTGCATATGGGTGTCGTAAAAATGAAAAGTTTTGCACGCTCCTATTTTTGGTGGCCCGGAATTGGAAAAGATATTGAAGAGATGTGTAAAACGTGTCAAAATTGTTTACTGTACAAAACATCTCCGGATAAGTCAATATTAAATACGTGGTGTTGGCCTGACCAGCCGTGGCATAGACAGTATTTAGACTTTATGGGAGGGACCATTTTTAAATAAATACTTTTTGATTATATTAGACGCACATAGCAAATGGATTGAAGTCTTTCCAATGACATCGATTACATCTAAGATGTTTTGCGTACCTGTTTCTCACATTTCGGTTTACCCCAAAAAATTGTTGCGTCTTTTTGCTCTTATAAATTTAAGGATTTTTTAACCAAGAACAATATTATGCACATCACTATTCCAGCTTACCACCCTTCATCGAATAGCGCTGCAGAGAATGCTGTCAAAACAACAAAATGTGCATTGAAAAATGCACATGGCAAAAACCCTATTTTAAATAATTCTACTCCAAAGTTTTTAGGGTAGTTGCGACAGCTTATTAAAAAAGCCTCATACCCTCAGCCAGCAAGCTTCCTTGGACAGTTGTGGTCTTCTTTTAATGTTTCTGCTGCTCCTTACATTGTGATCATACACATTGTTAGTTGTGGTGAGAATTAGGTTTGATTTGGAGTTATTTAGACCAACATTTGGCATGTTCTGCCACGTTTTTTGAGATGGTTTTCAGGTTTTGGTCTTCATTAGTAGAATTCTGAACAATTTTTAAACATTGTGTAAAAGTTCTTTTCAAATAACTGTCAGTAGTAATTGAACCCATATTGACCTTTGGAAGTCAAATACCTATGTTCTATGCCCAATGGTCAATAGATTTTTGTGCACGTTGTACAGTATGTTCCCCTAAGTTGGAATAAAATGGAAAACTTTTTTATTATTAATTTTAGGAAAAAAGTTATTATTCATAAAAAGTTCTGCATTATCTAAAACGTAGAGTACAGTCATCAAATATCAAATTTTTTCAGTGGTATACGAGGTTTGTCAAAAAATATGAATTTTGCTCAAGAGTAAAGTACGTTTATTTTTGACAAAATCGAAAATTTTCATTAAGAAAATTGCTAAATTCTTCACAAACATCAAGGAAATGAAAGCGTATTATGTTTATAGTAGAGAAGAGAGAGAAAAATTATGGATTACCGTAATTAGGTGGATCAATGCAAAATCTAGAAAAAATCTGATTTTTCAGATAGATTAATTTAATTGCATATTTGAGTGTAATTTTCAATTCTAATCAACTTTTCTTAATGAAAATTTTCGATTTTGTCAGAAATAAACGTACTTTACTCTTGAGCAAAATTCATATTTTTTGACAAACCTCGTATACGGCTTGAAAAATTTGATATCTGATAAATGTATTTTAGGTTTTGGGTCATACAGGACTTTTTATCAGGAATAACTTTTTTTCCTAAAATCAATAATAAAAAAGTTTTCCATATGATTCTAACTTAGGGGGACATACTGTATATGATGTCTCATCCCGTATATACTATTTTATAGTTTTTTCTGAATGAAAAACACATAATTGTTTTTTTTTATCTTTTTGATATAATAAAAATAACGAATAAATTATTTTCTAAATATTTTAAATCATTTCCATAATTTAAATAATTCATTCAACAATTCTGTAGACAAAATAATAATGATAATAATTTTAACCTATAATAACCTTTATTGAAAATTGTCTTATTACAGAATGTGTAAATTAGTATTCAATTCTTTCAAAATCAATGGTTTTAAATTATTTCAGTTAGTTTTAAGTTTGGTCTTGATTTTTAAGGTGAAATTTAAAAAAAAAAAAAAAAAAAAAAGTAAACTCCGATATTGATTTTGGACAATGGTGTTTTAATCAAGGTCCTCAACAGTAATTTGTTTACCAAATTTGATCATTATCGGTAAAATGTTAATTCAAAAGCCCCTAGAGTTTGTTAATGGATTAAGCCACATTCGTTTGAATCTTGGTCATCCAATATATTATACTCTATTCAGAAATAACTTTTTATGTTGAAAATATGTCAAAACTATTCATGTTACTATTGATTTGCCGTTGATTACTAAAAGATTTCTATTTTTAATAAAAAAAAGTACAAAATATAAAATTAATTTACCAGTAACGTATTTTTTAAATTGGTTTTGCTGGTATATGTAGGTAGATATTTCAATATATTATGAATATGCATCCGTTTATGTCGGTCAAAAAACCAGTTCGTCGAATTTCATTTTCTTTTTATCGTCCTGTTCATTGATTTGTATATGTATTGTTTGAACAACTTTCTTTTAAATAATACTGTAAATAAATTTCTCTATGTCGTTGATATTGTCATGGTGATATGGCCAGCCATTAAACTGTGGAGTGACAATATTACAAAAAAAAAGAGGGAAGAATACCTACGCAATGTTACGTCAAAATCAAGCCCTTTATATGGGTTTTTGATAGTTATCAGATAACGTGGGTTTCGGGTATTGTTGAAGACCTGGTACTTAAATTTATAAAAGATAAGATTTGATTGTTTTTATTTTTTGTTTTGATTGTATTACCTATATTGTTTATCATTTTGTGGGTAAACATGTTACATTACCTCTTATAATTTATATAAATCGATTTTTTTTAAATAATGCTTTTATAAAAAGAAAAAATAGACACTTCATTAAACATGTGTAATATCTATTTGGACGAGTATACTCAGATTATTTAGAACAAACGTCCTTACAGGTAAGTTGTTTGTTCTTTTAATTAGTTAATTTTAATCATTTTTTTCTGTGATGTCTAATAAACTTAAGACCAACATAGCATGTGCTCAGGGCTTTTTAATTTGAAATAAAGGAACATTATTCTACATTCTAATATTTTGTAGATACCCTGTATGTATATCACATCATCATTTAAACTGTTATTTTAATTATGTCTAGAACACATATCTTGATAATTTATTCACCACTGAAAGCTATTCCTCCATTTTTAATATATAATTGGGTAGATTCTATTCAAATTACATTTAAATTAATCGACTATTTATGCATCAGCAAAAATTATTCTTGTTAGCCTTCGAAACCGACATCAATACATCTTTCAATTTCGTATCGTCTGCAAAAAATGACGTATAGCGGACTGTCTAGCTCAAATATTTTACACTCGTTATAAGGACTGCATTCTGGATTAGATTTGACTGCTATTATTAGCAGGATAACTTTCTGTCGTACTATCCCTATCAGATTATAATAACATGGAATTTGATACATATGTAATTCCTACCAGTCCTGGATATGTCAATAGGCCGTATAGGCTGAGGCCTAGGGGCGGCAGATTTCACAGGACGCTCACTCGATTTCAGAGGATACAAGTCAAACAAGTTCACTGGTCTTCTCATAGTTTTTTATACTAATACGTTAAATCCCTATAGAAACTCATTCCTATCGAACATTATCAATCCTAGTTACCTATTCTTATTGTACCTATTTTATCTATATTGCGACGATTTGGTTCAAGAATGTGTGCATTTTTACAGTCACATTTCCTCTAATAAAACTGCAGAGTGTGCAGTGAAGCCTGGATCAAACTCACTACTATCTCTCAACGTTCTTAAGGAATCAATCTCTGTCGAATGTTTATCCAAACTTGAAAATAGCTCCCACATAAATTACTATGATATTATAGATGATTTTACTATTAAAGTCATATAAAATATTGTAATTCTTATTTCTTTTTTACGCCTTTTCTCAATGACTAATTCATTCGTTTATTTAACATCAGCGCCTTCCTTACTACAAATGGAAAATTATTATTTTAGAAAGGTACATGGGGCGTTCGAAATAAAGTGACCTACACTCATAAAAAATATAACTCCGGCACTGATTCCTACTGATGAATTAAATAATTATAATTTTCGTTTTTTGGATGTAGATAATCAAAATGTTGTTCCATTTGAATCAACTATTCTAATAATCAAATTAAATTTATTATCAATTGTTCAGGGTTACGTTTAGGTCAATATTAACGCTTGATAGAATAATTATCTTAGTTTATTGATTATCCTCTAACAATTTAATTATTATTATCTTAATTGGACAAACTACTTTTAGCATTAATTTTTTTAAATAAATTTACTCATCGATTCTTATTAGAACGAAATTGAAACTATTTGAATAGTTTTATCCATACCTAATTAATGATGAAGTAAATAAGAAAATATAAATAAATACTTACATTCGAGTTAGGTAAATAAACTATAATAATATAACAAAAATAACTTTCTAGATTATTTAAACTGTCTTCAACAACAACAATTATTGTCAACAAAGAAAATCCACACTGTCATTAATAGTACAAAATTCGAAATCTTATTATGTCCACGGTTGTTAAAACACATTAGCGAGCACAGAACCGGTTTATACAGGGTCTTGGGTCTTCGACTTCTTCCAAAAACTGTTAATGCCGTTTCTACGGCCTGATGAACACGATTTTTCGGCGCACCTGTGTGACAAGCAAGTATTAACAGACACAAAAGCGTTGTTGTGTTGTATCCAACAACAACAACGATACAACTATGAATGAATAATTAAACAACTCGAGAATGGTTAAGTATATAAGTAGATAAAAGCTTGGACAGAACCGTATTCAAAATTTTTTTTCTCTTCTAATGATTTCTAATAATTATTACGACAGAACATAGATTTTGTGACATGTATATTTTTGGGTGTTTGGGCAACATAAAAACGAAATAAAAACATAATTTGTCCACAGATTTTTAAATAAAAGTAACTAAATTATTTATGTTTTGCAAGTTCACTATACTTACGCGGGTTCCGGATTAACAAAATTATGCAAATTAGTCATTGACAACCAGTTCCAATAAGCCTCTTCCCAAGAAATTAGGTAAAATTGCCCTAATGGTCAGATTTAAATTAAAATAACATTAGGGTAGGTACTAAATTTGTTACAAATATTGTAGGTGAATTGATTCTTTGCAAGTGTTGACTTTGTATGTATATTGTAAATTTAGTGGAAATTTTAAAAATGCCTAGACGTGTGTTAGATGTAGATAGTCTAATTTGTAGTGTACATAAGTATTGTATGAATGAAAAAAAAAATGGCGGTCCTTTAAAATCGGTAATGTCTGTACAACAACGCGTATGCGATGCTCTAGGAATTAGTGAAACCAAATTAAGAGGAGTATTACAAAATCACAATAGTAAACTGCCGAAAGAAGATCACCGCAAAACTCGCCCATCATTGAAAACGAAAGATATTCCAGATGGAAAGAAATCTGAAATTTGTGATACCATTTATCGAATGAGGGCCAACAAGGAACATGTGACCTTAAATACAATTCTCTCGGAATTAATAGATAGAAAATTTGACGACATTGGCAGAACAAGTCTATGGCAAGTGATACATAACTTGGGTTTCAAATTTCAAAAGGAGGATAACAGAAAGGCCCTTTGTGAAAGAAGTTCTCTCGTGCACAAGAGAATTAACTTTCTAAGAAAATATTCTAAATTTAAAGAAAGGGCGAATTTTATATATTTAGACGAAACATGGATATTTTCTAGGGGTGCAACCAAGAGAATATGGCAAGATGATAACGCAAAGTCCATCAAACATACCGATGGAGAAGGGAAGCGACACATAATTTTTCATGCAGGAGGGAAATCGGGTTTTATAGAAGGTGCTGATTTAATATTTTCATCTAAATCAAAATCCAGTGACTATCACGATAATATGAACACAGAAATGTTTGTAAAATGGTTGCATGAAAAACTTCTCCCAGGTTTAAGTGAGCCCAGCGTAATTATTTTAGACAATGCACCTTACCATTCTGAAGTATTAAACAAAAGTCCAACGAATTCTTGGACTGTTAATAAAATTAAAGAATGGTTGACAAAGGAACATATACCATTTCCTCAATATATATTAAAATCAGAATTATTACGCTTGGCAAATATACACGCAAAACCAAAAACCTTTGTTGTGGATCAGATTATTGGAAGTTACGGTCATCAAGTTTTACGTCTGCCACCGTATCATGGCCAGTTTAATCCCATCGAATATATATGGGGAATAGCAAAACAATATTATGACAACCATATTGGGCCTAATGGTTATAGTGACGAAGCAGTTCGGGAAACTTGGCAAAAAGCACTTTCAATTGCAACTCCAGAAGTGTGGCGGAACTGTATATCAAAGTGCGAGAAACTAATAGAAGATTGGTGGACTCGTGAAAATAAAATAAGTGAAATAAGTCCAATCATAATAATTAATGGTGATGACAGTGATTATGATGACGATTATGATATTTTGGATGATAATGACTGATTTTCATTTTTGTTGGCAAGTTCAATTTTTTTATTTTTCATTTGAAATTCTCTACAGGAAACAAATTTTTATGTTAGAAAATATTTTATTTGAGCTAAACAACCCTCTTATTATACATAGACCATATTTTCTGTGTGAAGTGTAATATAAATTATTAGGTTTATAATAGCCACATTAGTTTCCATTAATGAAGTTTAATTCTGCTCTCAATTATACAAAATATTCTCCATTATTATTTAATTAAAAGTTGTACATTATTTTTCATTTCATTTAACCACTTGATATTTCTTCAAAGAACAGGTCAAACTTTCGGGTACTTACCTGGAAATACTCATAAAAATTTTAATCCGAAACCTGCGTAAGTATAGCAAACAGACTGTATATTGGATTCAATATAAAATCCAATGCACGTCATCGATGAGGCGTTTAATTTTAGGCCGCTACAACCATACATAGTTGCCAAATTACCAAAATTACAGGGGAACATTAGAAAATTTTGAGTTTTTAGAAAACAATGAATTTAGTAGAAATTAATGTTACACTAGAAATTTGAAATGCAGTGATGAATTTACGCCTAGGCTCGTGAGGCCTAGGGCGGCATAATTTGAGGGGCGGCAAAATTTTTGAAATTCCAAAATTTTAGAGACGAAAAAAGTAAAGACAATCAATTTCAAAAATTGGTTCAGATTAGTTTTAATAAAAATTTTTCTATAGAATATATTGTAATTCAATTCATTAATTTACTTCTCAATCTGTATAGGTAAAATGTTAATTTTTTAATAGATCAATTATAGTAATTATCGAGTAATGTTCTTTACTTTCTGTTCCTTTAGTGAGATTAATCTCACGTGTATGAAGCGTTTTGAAATTACTCAATCTGAATAACTTCTTAATTTGTTTTTATATAGTATGAAATAAAAATACTGTAGATTTGCATGTATTGAATATCATTTTGATATTCATTCAAAAGTGTCACATTTTTTGTTTATAAAAATAATTTTTTATAAAAAATAAATCTCGTCTTTTTCCATTCCAAAAACTTTAAATTTTTATCTAAAACAAAAAAAAATCATTCGATATTCCTCATATTTGCAAAAATCTTCAATTACATCTACACATTTCAATAATTTCTGAAAATCCAAGAGCAAGAATTTCGAAATTTTTTAAAATTAATGTGAGCTGATATACAGGGTGTTCGATAAGTACGGTACATAACTTCAGGAGCGTATTCTGGAGCTAAAGGTATTTTTGTCATATACACTATGTCTCAAAAATGCTTCGTTACGGAAATACAGAGTGTGAAAGTTTCATAAAAAAAATACAATTTTTTAAATATTTCCAAAACCACTTAAGATATTTTAATCAAACTAATCGCTGAAAAATATGGAAGGAAAAACGTGTTACGCCACTGTTCTGCTTTTAATGTTCGATCTGGAAGAAAAAGCAACAAAGACAGTACATTCTTTCATTCTTTTTTATTATTTTTAATCTCTTTGAACAATGTACAACAAAAAAGTTATCTTCAATTTTTCCCAGGTACTTGTTTGACATTTTACTAGTCGCCAATTGTTTATTTATTTATAGGGTACCGCCATCTGCTAAAACATTTAGAAAGATACATGCCAGATTGAGTGAAACCGGTAGTTTTGAGAATGAACGGGTAGTTCCTGGTAGACCACGAACAGTAACAACGCCTGAGCTAGAAGAAGCTGTACCAGGAAGATTGCACAACAGCTTCAAGTACGTGCAAATACTGTTTGGAGAGTTTTTAAAGTTTCTCTGCTTTACTCATACCACAAACAACGAGTACAAGCTTTGCTGCCCCGCGACTTTCAGCCATGGCTAAATTTTAGTAGGTGGTTACTCCATAAAGTTGCTCATATCTACGCTTTTTTGTCCCTTATTTTATTTACTGACGAGGCAACTTTTTCGTGAGAAGCAATTATTAATTTTCATAATGAAAATTTATGGATAGGGATTACTGATGACCATCTTATTGGATCATACTTTTTACCCCCTCGACTGAATGGTGATTCGTATACTCAGTTTTTACAGGAAGAACTAAATGGTCTGTTAGAAGAAGTGCCTCTGCAAATAAGAGGAGATTTATGGTTTATGCACGATGGTGCACCAGCCCATTTTAGCCTTCTGGCTCGCCAATATCTCGACAACACATTTCCTAATCGCTGGATTGTCTGGATGTCTCAAGATTTGGCTAGCGTTAGCTATTTAAGCGTAGGAAAGCTCTAGGTGTTGGTTGTAGATATTTGAATAAATACACAGAACTATTATTTTGAACTTTATTTCAACTGGCTTCGACAAGTATGCATTAACTTAACCTCACTCCGGTTGTCTAGTCGTGGCTATAGTTGTGGCTACTACTAGATATATTACAGCAATTTTAACACCTTCGTGATTTTGTACCTTACGCACAACAAAAATAACTATATGTAGGTGTAAGTACATTAATCACAAATAATTAATCAAAATAATTGATCAAATGATATCAAAGAATATAGTTAAAAAAAATATATAGAAATTTGTTTTAAAACATAATATTTACAACTTTTCTAAAATTCACAAGTATTAAATTTGGTGCAAATCATACTAATATAACATAAATATTTAGAAAAAAGTATAAAAAATAATAACTTTGCAAACTATCAAGTTTTGGACTAGGATAAATTTGGCTGGATCCCTCGTATTTTAGCCTTATTAATTTGTGCTAACGTTCTGTTTATACCCTATAGGAACGCCCTGTATATTCTTTGAATTTAACGTTTAAGAGGTTACCCAAGCAACAATTTTAAGACAATTTAAATTGATTTAGGTTTTAAAAGTAATTTAATTAATATATTCAATAAAAAGATGCATTACTTAAGATAAAATAAAAAAAACCCTACTGATCTTATACTCATTTTATATTACTCTTGACATTGGCTATTTTAAAACTAATTAAATAACAAGTTTCTTCTTCTTCTTCTTCTTTTTTAAGAGTATTAGTGTTACTTGGGAAACCACTCGCGAAATATTGGTCCTTTTTTCCTCAAAATTACTAATTGTACACATTCTCTTGAAATTTTTGAAAATCATGGCAAAAACCAAGTGAATAGCCCAAAAAAATGGTACCTAATTTATTTATTTAAAAAGAAAGTTTAATACATAATTCATAGGTAATACGCCGAAATCAATCGATCAATACGATTTTTTTGTGATTTCCGAAATATAGATACGTTTTG